GTGTCAAGAGCAAAAGCCCCGAAATGCAAACACTTATCAGACCTCTGCTTACATCCGAATCACTACTCTCCCATTGGCAAGAACAAGTCACACGGGAGGGGACAACATATTGTGTGAATGCCAGCTGTGATTCACTGGAGGCTGCCAAGGCAACCATCCACCACCTCTGTATTCATATTTGGAAAAACACCTGGAGCCCAAAGCAAAGGTCTACACACTGCACGAATCTGCTCCCTCAGACAGCAATAGTAAACCCTAAAAAATTCTTTCTTTTAAAGGGAAAATAGTAACTTCTATGACCTGAATAGAAATTTCCCCGATGCTTTTGAATTTAATACTGTACCAAGGCAGCCTGAAACTGTGGCAGTCATGAAGTGGCTGAATACAGAGACATTTGTCCTTTCTGCAAACCTCCACGGTGGTGCCCTGGTGGCCAGCTACCCATTTGATAATGGTGTTCCAGGTAAGCAAACTTGGGCCCAGCTCTTGCTTTCTAAGTCCAGAGTGAAACTGCAAACTCTCTGCCTCTGAATGGGGATACACTCTTCCTCTCCCCACTTAACTTCTCTGGCAGGGATAGAAAGAGCCCCATTCTCTTGACCCCCAGCTATCCTTCCTACAATTTATAAACAGTAGATGGGGAAGGTGGCTGAACTGATAACAACACGGGATTACTTGACATTCATCAGTGAAACAGTAAAATTGGGATTTAAATTAGCCCACAAAAGGCAACACGGCTAAATAAATAAATAAATAAAACGAATCATGTAAGTAATAGTTCCTGATTCCTCTTAAAACTGGGGGATAAGGTATGTACCAATGACTTAAAGTATTCGAGTGGCTTCATTTAATCCCTACAGTACCTAAGGAAAGTTTACTGACCTCCAGAAATCAGCAAGGGTGACTAAGAAGGTATTTAACTTTTAAGCTGACTGAGGAGTTTAGACATGGACATGGTTGTTTTGTGTAATATTGCCTTCTGTATGTCCATTAAAAACTAGGAACAGGAGTAAAGGGAGTATTCGTGGAAGTGGGTAGAGGATCTCACTAGGAAATTAGAGCCTTTGTGTGTGATGTGATGATGTGTGTGCTAATATGGTGTGTGTTTCCTCCAACTATAACTTCAACTAAAAGGTCTTGGTCTGTCTTTCATGTACAGCCACTGGAACATTATACTCTCGGAGCTTAACCCCTGATGATGATGTTTTTCAATATCTTGCACGTACCTACGCTTCAAGAAATCCCGACATGAGGAAAAGAAATCCATGTAGAACTAAAATAGAGTTTCCTGGTGGAATTGTAAATGGATACTTTTGGTATCCACTCAAAGGTGAGTTTCTCTTCATTCTGCTATTCTCCTTACTGCCTTCCCCCAGAGGTGCCAGCTGGCCTTCACCCCAGCAGTTGCCAAAAGTTAGGCACAGTGCAGTCCCTTCAGTCATGTCTCTGTCAGCTAATATCACAGAGCAGTGAGGGGAACTGATCATTTGAGAGATGCTCAGACATGTTCCCCACTGCCAAAGCCTCCTAACTTCAGACACTGGTTCAGCATTTACCTTTGAGCTGGGAACTGTGCCAGGAAAGATGAACAGGACACAGATATTAAGCCCAAGTTTAATAGAGAAGAGCAACATACAAATAAATAATTGTGATGGCATGTAATGTGAATAAAAGTAGAGATTTAGGGCTTCCCTTGGTGGCGCAGTGGTTAAGAATCTGCCTGCCAATGCAGGGGACATGGGTTTGAGCCCTGGTCTGGGAAGATCTCACATCTCAGTTGCACGGAGCAACTAAGCCCGTGCATCACAACTACTGAGCCTGTGCTCTAGAGCCCACAGTCCACAACTACTGAGCCTGCGTGCCACAACTACTGAAGCCCACACGCCTAGAGCCCGTGCTCCGCAACAAGGAGAGCCACTGTAATGAGAAGCCCGCCACCGCATCGAAGAGTAGCCCCTGCTCACTGCAACTAGAGAAAGCCCGCGCACAGCAAGGAAGACCCAACGCAGCCAAAAAAAAAAAAGTAAAAATTTTTAAAAGTAGAGATTTAGAAAAGGTACAGTGTATCACAGGGGTGTAAATCCAAAATACATCAGGGAGTAGTGAAGGCCTTAGAGAAATGTAATGCTTATGTCTCATCCAGTGGGGACAGCTGCTACTTAGAACAAGGTAATTATTGCCATGCAGCAGTGGGGGGCAATATTGCCAGATCTTCCAGTTTGTGAAGCAAGCTGGATATTTCCATGAAGTCTCCTGATTTTAAAACCACTTTGCAGGCTAAACGAAAGAGCCTTCTAGTTTTTCTCCCTTGGAACAGGACGGCCAGGCGAGGGAGGGAGTGAGAAGCTGGCCATGTAGGGAACGTGGCGGAGGGGTGTTCTTGTCAGAAGGAATAATATAAGCAGAAGCCCAGGGGTGTCAGAGTCCTAGTCTGGAAATTGACAGAGTAGGAGGGACCTAGGACAGAAGGGTGAGAGGGGAGACAGTGGGCTGGAACCAGGTTTCCACTGCCTCAGTGGAAAGTGCCCCCTTCCAGACTGGTCAGCTGACCCTACCAACAGCAACCCCCATCCTGCATTTCTGCACACAGCCTACTTCCTCAGTTGTCACTTTGGACGCACAGGCTATCAAGTAGTCTTGCACAAACTGGGACTTTTGTGTCTGGGCAGGTCTCTGCCAGCTTTCCAGATCATAAGTAAGCATAGACCACAAGTGAGAGGAACCAGGACCAGCCAGATACCACAACATCCCAAACTTCTCTCTGGTGTCCGGGAGACAGCCTCCCCACTCCCACCACAGGGCTGTAGCCTAGTCCCCGCTCACTACTCTCCATAGAGAGGAGAGGGCCCCCTCCTGCCCAGTGGCAGTGCTGTCCTTCATGTGCATTGTCTGTAACTTTCAAGACAGATCCAGATGTGTGGGAGATTAACTAGGAACCTAATTTTGCCATTGGGAGTTGTTCCCAAGTGTGCCTGTCAGCTGTGTATCTCTGTGAGAAAAAAAGAGGGCAGAGCCAGAAACTTTGAGGCGCTTAGAGCATTCTGGCTCAGCCTGGAGGCTTTTTCGGCCAGGCCTGACTGGCATTATCTGGAGTGGCACACACCCTCCACACTTGGTATTCTCCATCCAGCGTGCTTTGCACACCTGTTTTGCACGCCTGTTTTGCCATTTAACTTCTTTCTACCTGAGACACAGCCATCCAGCCAAGGGCTTTTGTTTTGTTTCATTTCTCTCTTCCTTTTTTCCTTCTTCTATTTCCTGGTGAAAATGAGGTCAGAGAGAAATACAAAACTTGTAAGTAAAGGAAAAGAAAGGACAGAGTAATTCTTCCTGGCTAAAATCTGTACGTACATAGATATTACTCAATGTTGACGTAATATTTTGACCATTTTATGAGCATAAATTTTTTTTACTTCATTACTTCCCAAATACCCTGATGAAATTGAGAATACGTATTTCACTGGGCAGATATCAAGTATAACTAATTAAAATCTGGCAGAGACTACTTCCTTCAAAGTTACCATATTTCTTCAAATCCAAGATGCCGCTGATTGTAAAAGATGTCCCACCAAGAAAGAAAAAAGTTTCCAGCCAAACTAATAACCCAATGATGTTATTCAGCCATCAAATTTAAGATACTTCCCAATTCAGAGATTTTAAAATATGAAAAGTTTTACATCTTAGAAACTATAAAATACGGTTATAACCCTTTGAAAATAGGGTGTTGAGAGGTAAGAACTAGAAAGTGAGCATGGGCAGTGGTAACCCCAGAAGTACCAGGGGCCTGGGTCTTCCCCTGCTCCCTGAGAATCAGCATGGCACCTTCCCTCTCATCCCCAAACGCAGTGCCATGTGATGGCTGAGAGCATGGGGGCGCTAGGAAGATGGCCTGTGCTCCAGTCTCAGCCATTCACTGGCAAGAATCCCTGGGCACATGACCTACCATTTGTGATTAAGCTTCCTCATCTGTAAAATACGAGTGATAATTACTGTGAGGATTAAATGAGTGGATGGTGAAGCTCTTCAAACAGTACCTAGCAAGAGCAAACACTCAGTAAACACTGGCATTATTATTCCTCCAAATTCATATACTTAGCTTTACAGAATAAATGTGTTTATGAATGGTTTGTAGAAATATTTTAAAAGAAAATATCACTCTAGTTTATATCTGTTTAAAATGTAATTTAGGAAGAAATGTAACTTGAAGAATCTTTTTTAAAAAATAAATTTATTTATTTTTGGCTGCGTTGGGTCTTCATTGCTGTGCGTGGGCTTTCTCTAGTTGTGGCAAGCAGGGGCTACTCTTCGTTGTGCTGTGTGGCCTTCTCATTGCAGTGGCTTCTCTTGTTGTGGAGCACAGGCTCTAGGCACACGGGCTTCAATAGTTGTGGCTCGCAGGCTCTAGAGTGCAGGCTCAGTAGTTGTGGCACACGGGCTTAGTTGCTCTGTGGCACGTGGGATCTTCCCAGACCAGGGATTGAACCTGTGTCCCCTGCATTAGCAGGCGGATTCTTAACCACTGCGCCACCAGGGAAACCCTTGAAGAATCCTTTTTGCAATTGTGATTTTTAAAAAGGACCCTTCCTCTACCCCTCACTTAATTTTGATGCACAGCTAAACATGTGAGCTCTGATTCAGTTACCCATATGGGAGTATTTAGGATTGCTTTGTCATGCCTGGATAATAAAATGTCAAGCTCTAATTGTACTTGCTAATATGTCAAATTCATCTTTTCCTGTTTACGTGTACTTTCACTACCACTGTCTGACTCACCTGTCCCCAAGGTACGTGATACTTGGCTTCACTCCAATCTCAGACTTAAAAAAAATTAAATATGCTTGTGTTTAGGTGGAATGCAAGATTACAACTACATCTGGGCCCAGTGTTTTGAAATTACGTTGGAGCTGTCATGCTGTAAATATCCTCGCAAGGAGAAGCTTCCAAGCTTCTGGAACGAAAACAAAGACTCACTGATTGACTATATAAAGCAGGTGCACATAGGTTTGTAAGATTTTTTTATTAATTCCTGTTAACACAAAATATAGCATCTGGCAAACCCTCTGGGCTGAGAAAATGCAAGCCCCTATTTATGTTTTCTAGGTATAGCCTCATTTTTAGTACCAGAACAATGGTTCAGAATTCTCTCTGCGTGAACATCTGCAGCCTGTGAGAAGTGCAGCACCTATCGGTTCATATAAGAGAAAGCATGGTGTGTGTTACTTTAATATGCGGGTGTAAAATCCAGGGTACTTCTAATTTTACAAGTTGAATGACCTGGAAATCTGGCAAAAGATCAGGAAAACAGGCTGTTACTCTGTTACATTTATCACCCATTTAGAAAGAAGCCAAGTTTGCTTGTCACTTGCCATATAATATCACAGACCAGAGAACTTTGGACATGCCATTTTGCATTTCTTCTAGAACTGGGGTGGTTACCTAGCACCGTTAGCTTCAACCCCTCCCACCCCTCAACTCTGCCAAATGACCTGGCATTGGGAGTCTTTGCAGCCTGTTTTTTGATGGCTGTCTGGCCTTTATCACAGATGAGCAGACTTAATGTGACAAGAGTGGTCCTTCTCAAACATGTGCAGCAGACTCACCAGGAGGGTTTGTTAAAATGAGATTGCCAGGCCCCATCCCCAGAGTTTCTGATTTAGTGGGTCTGGAATGATTAACATCTTCCCTGGTGATGCTGACGCTGCCCGTCCAGGGACTACTCTTCGAAAACCATTGTACTAGAGCAACACATTGCTTGTGATGATGATGGAATCCTCGGCAGGGTGTGGAAGGCTCTTCTGCGTTGCCCGGGTTAGTTATTTTTCTCCATTGAGAACGGCTTGGGGGAGAAAGGTATCAGGAATTAGGGCGACAGTTATGCTACCACATGAAGCCAAAGTGGAGGATGTGTGTTTGTGTTGAAGAGGTTTGCATCGTGGGTCTGCTGCATAATTGCATAATTGCTGGATTTTCTGCATGCTTCACACCAAAGCTTCCCACCTGCTGAAAAGAGATGGAGACGGTTGAGGTAGGGAAAAGTCAGAAGCAGAGGGGTACAGGGCTGAGAGCAAGGAAAATTAGGAGCTTCCCTTGGCCACACATCCCTACCATGGCTACTCCTTCCCCCTTTCATATTTGACTCCCAACCTCTTCACCCCCGTGACACAAGTACACAAAGATTATTTTTGAATTGGCAGAGCTGCATCTAACTGGCTGAGACATTTATGGGGTAGGTTGATGGGGGAGATTACGAAATGTCATCTTTCTTTTTCACCAGCATCTTAATAATTTTTATTAAGCTTATTATTGGGTCTTTCTCCTTTTTCATTATGTCACCAGACTTTGTATTCTGGTATGTCTCTACTTGACTTTTCTCATGAGGCACATTTCTACTTTTACTGTACTTCTACCTATATCAACTTTTAGTGTATACTCTGTCCTTTTCTAAGATTCCTCCTTCAGAAGCATCAGCATGGGAGTGCAACTGAACACGAAATACACTCCATGAACTGCACTGCTATCTTCGGAATTTCAGTCTAGCTGGAAAGGTTATTTACTGAGCCCTGAATTAAGGTGGGCTCTGAAGTATCCTGCTGAAATAACATTGCCAGTGAAGGAGCTTTGTCAACTGTTAAATAACATACAAGTTACAGCCTAACCATTGTTATTTATTAATTTAAAGTGCTTACTAGTCCATTTAACTAGGTTTTATAAAGAATATTCATACATCTACCTATCCCTATAATCAGATGTGCACAGCTTACTTAAAAAAACATATGTATATATTAACACATCAACCCTACCCCCTGTGGTTTAAGACAGGGTTTTTTGTTTTGTTTTTGTTTCCTAGTTTAATAATGAAACCCTATTTCAAAACACTGATACAGTGTGGTTACTGTTACTTGATAGAGAGGTTCTCTCCTTATTGGTGCCCAATAGGAAGCCAAAGAGTATCTTTGATTGTGAGTAATGGAAGCAAACATCTTTTTACCGCTATTGCTCTGGTTTAAGAAAATCACTGATGTTTGTCAAGCTGCATCACATTCACTGGGTCAGTGTCACCACTTGCTAAGATGGTCTCTGAGATTTCCAGATGGGTCAAAGTCTCTGGCCTACCTTGTCTGGGAACGAAAGGCCTCCTGCTCTAATGGAAAGACTAGGCCTAGACGGCAGGAGCCTGGGTAAGGCCTAAGCTGTTCTGTCATCTGCCCCTGTGTGAAACTTTGCAAGCCACTTGTCTCGACTGGTTTTAGTCAACTGATAGCTGGGAGTAATAGCATATGCCTTTTCTTACCCCAGCTTGTTCTAAGGCTCCGATGGGGTCATTCTTTCAATTAAATCTCACGGCCAACCTCAATCTAAACTCAGGTCCTTTGGTGCTGTGTTGTCATGCTTAGAGGGTTGACTAGGCTCCTGTTGGGATGACGGTAAGGCAGACATTAAGTTGAGTGTGAATTCTAGGGATCTGGAATGTCCTGCTTGTTCCCTCTCTGGGGAGAAGCAAAGATGAGCAAGACGTGATATTACCTGCTGCTGTTCTCTCCCTTGAACTCCTCAGAGCAGATCTGAACCCAGAGGTTTGGGGGATGGCCCACAGCATCCAGAAACCTAAGCAACCTGGACCTGAGAGAATCTGGTATGTGTTGAGTTCCAGAAGCCTGTGAGACACAGATACGCATCTGTTATCAGATCCAAAGTCAGTGGCAGCTATAATCATTAGGTGGGGACATGGGAGTGAACAGTCTCCCGAGTACCACCGGCTCAGACTCTGCGCTGTGGCCAGTCCTTGCCCAGCACGGGCTTTTCATCCACAGAGCTTGATACATCCCCAAGGGAAGGAGAGCTTTACATTTCTGCCCCTCATTTCCAGATGTGGCCACAAAATTTAAGTCTCAGATTTTATTCTCCTTTGCTTATTATCTGAGCTTTTTTCAAAATTTTGCTTTTTGTTCTCCTGATGTCATAGTGCTGGCTGTCTCTGCATCTCTTTGGATCTTCTGGTCTTTTTTCAATTTTTGATTTCAGCATATAGAAATAAATAATCTCTTCTGGTAAAACAGTCACTTCCTTCTAAGTGAAAAGTTTGGTGGTGCCTGGACAGAATATTGAAAAGACGTATAAGATCAAAGGCAGCTTATATTTGGCAGGTGCTATGGGGTTTTCCTCTAATAGAAATTCTGTATTTAAGAATGGTCTGTGTTTGTTCAGTAACAGAGTGATATTCAGATATTCCCAGATTGAACAATTGTCTCTAGGTTTGGCTAAGGGTCATACAGAAATGAATCTTTTAATCTTTAGAGGACATTGAATGAGAGTCAAAACTGGAATATGAAGACTTTTGGCAATCGACCTGAATCCAAATTACTCTTCCTTTTCCCATGTTTGAGGATAGTCAGACTACCAGTCCCTGGAAATCTTTGTTTAGTTTGACACATGATATAGGGGTGTTGTGTGGGTACCTAAGGCCATCCAAAAACACTGTTCATAGACTGTCAAAAAAATTCAAATCTGTTCTGTTAAAGTGTAACAACCAATTCCAGCCAAGAAGGAATTTGCAGATTTTTTTTAATTTGAAGTATAGTTGTTTTATAAGTTGTCTTAATTTCTGCTGTATAGCTATAAATATATATAGCTGAATATATATGCATATTCTTTTTCATGTTCTTTTCCATTATGGTTTATCACAGGATATTGAATATAGTTCCCTGTGCTATACAGTAGCACCTTGTTGTTTATCCATTCTATACATAATAGTTTGCGTCTGCTAATCCCAAACTTCCAATCCATCCCTCTCCCACCCCCTCCCCCTTGGCAAACACAGTCTCTTTTCTATGTCTGTGAGTCTGTTTCTGTTTCGTAGATATGTTCATTTGTGGCATATTTTAGATTCTACATATAGTGATCACATGGTATTTGTCTCTCTCTTTCTGACTTCACTTCATATGATAACCTCAAGGTACATCCACGTTGCTGCAAATGGCATTATTTCATTCTTTTTTATGGCTGAGTAGTATTCCATTGTATGTATGTACCACATCTTCTTTATCCATTCATCTGTCGATGGACATTTTAGGTTGTTTCCATGTCTTGGCCTTTGTGAACAGTGCTGCTATGAACATAGGGGTGCATGGATCTTTTTGAATTATAGTTTTGTCTGGATATATGCCCTGGAGTGGGATTGCTCGATAATATGGTAATTCTATTTTTAGTTTTTTGAGGGACCTCCATCGTGTTTTCGATAGTGGCTGCACCAACTTACATTCCCACCAACAGTGTAGGAGGGTTCCATTTTCTCCACACCCTCTCCAGCACTTGTTATTTGTGGACTTTTTGATGATGTCCATTCTGACTAGTGTGAGGCAATACCTCATTGTAGTTTTGATTTCCATTTCTCTAATAATTAGCCATGTTGAGTATCTTTTCATGTGCCTGTTGGCCATCTGTATGTGTTCTTTGGAGAACTGTCTATTTACGTTGTCTGCCCATTTTTCAATTGGGTTTTTTCTTTTAATTGAATTGTATGAGCTGTTTGTATATTTTGGAGATTAATCCCTTGTCAGTCGCATAGTTTGTAAATATTTTCTCTCAGTCCGTAGGTTGTCTTTTCATTTTGTTTCTGGTTTCCTTTGCTGAGCAAAAGCTTATAAATTTGATTAGGTCCTGTTTGTTTATTTTTGTTTTTATTTCTATTGCCTTGGGAGACTGACCTATGAAAACATCGCTTCAATTTACGTCAGAGAATGTTTTGCCTATGTTCTCTTCTAGGAGTTTTATGGTGTCGTGTCTTATATTTAAGTCTTTAAGCCATTTTGAGTTTATTTTTGTGTATGGTGTAACAGTGTATTCTAACTTCATTGGTTTACGTGCAGCAGTCCAGCTTTCCCAATACCACTTGCTGAAGGGACTGTCTTTTGTCCATTGTATATTCTTGCCTCCTTTGTCAAAGATTAATTGACCATAGGTGTGTGGGTTTATTTCTGGGCTCTCTATTCTCGTCCGTTGATCCGTATGTCTGTTTTTGTGCCAGTACCATGCTGTTTTGATTACTGTTTGCTAAATTTTTTTTCTTGGTGTCTTCTGCCTTAGCATCCTGAATCTTTGGTGTAAAGTCAATTTCAAAGATAGCTTAATTTTTTATGAGTTTGGGTTGGTTTTGTTTGATTTTGTTGGTTTTGAAGACGACAATGAAAAATAGAAAAGATGCCAACACACATACTGCCAGTACTACAAGCTATCTTCCTCAAATGCACAGACTTTCAAAGTGGCAGGAAGACTATAAGCTAGTTCAGAGACCTAAAAAAGGAAGAAATAAGCATAGCTTCCTCCTTCACATATCCTTGCTCTTGCGGAACAAAGATGAACTGAGACCCCAGCAACTTATCCAGTATTTCTGTGTCAACTTCAAACTTATATAGTTAGTCTTTCTTTTCCTTGTATCATTTTTCTTATCCAAATAAGAAGAAAGAGAAGGATTAAGAAAGGATTAATATTTGTTGAGCCTCCTGTTCTGTTACTTGTGTTTGATCTTCACAACAATCCTGGAAGGTATACATATTATCCCCATATTATAGGTGATGAAATTGAGGCTTGGGAATGTTTAGTGACTTGGGAGCTGGGATTCTAATGTGTTGCTGCAAATGGCATTATTTCATTCTTTTTTAATGGCTGAGTAACATTCCATTGTATATATGTACCACATCTTCTTTATCTATTCCTCTGCTGATGGACATTTAGGTTGCTTCCATATGTTGGCTATTGTCAACAGTGCTGCAGTGAACATTGGGGTGCATGTGTCTTTTTGAATTATGGCCTTCTCTGGGTATATGCCCAGGAGTGGGATTGTTGGATCATATGGTAGTTCTATTTTTAGTTTTTTAAGGAACCTCCATACTGTTTTCCATAGTGGCTGCACCAATTAACATTCCCACCAACAGTGTAGGAGGGTTCCCTTCTCTCCATACCCTCTCCAGCACTTGTTTGTAGACTTCTTGATGATGGCCGTTCTGACTGGTGTGAGGTGATACCTTATTGTAGCTTTGATTTGCATTTCTCTAATTTTTAGTGACACTGCGCATCTTTTCATGTGCCTCTTGTCCATCTGTATGTCTTTTAGGAGAAATGTCTATTTAGGTCTTCTGCCCATTTTTTGACTGGGTTGTTTTTTTGATATTGAGCCTATGAGCTGTTTGTAAATTTTGGAGATTAACTCCTTGTCAGTCGCATTGTTTGCAAATATTTTCTCCCATTCTGTGGGTCGTCTTCGTTTTCTTTATGGTTTCCTTTGCTGTGCAAAGGCTTCTGAGTTTCATTAGGTCCCATTTGTTTATTTTTGTTTTTATTTCCATTACTCTAGGAGACGTATGCAAAAAGATATTGCTGCAATTTATGCCAAAGAGTGTTCTGCCTGTTTTCCTCTAAGAGTGTTCTAGTATCCGATCTTACATTTAGGTCCATAATCCATTTTGAGTTAATTTTTATGTATGGAGTTAAAGAATGTTCTAATTTCATTTTTTTACATGTAGCTGTCCAGTTTTCCCAGCACCATTTACTGAAGAGACTGTCTTTTCTCCATTGTATAGTCTTGACTCCTTTGTTGTAGATTGTGACCATAGGTGTGTGGGTTTATTTCTGGGCTTTCTATCCTATTCCATTGATCTATATTTCTGTTTTTGTTCCAGTACCATACTGTTCTGATGACTGTAGCTTTGTAGTATAGTCTGAAGTTAGGGAGCCTGATTCCTCCATCTCCATTTTTCTTTCTGAAGATTGCTTTGGCTATTCAAGGTCTTTTGTGTCTGCATACAAATTTTAAGATTTTTTGTTCTAATTCTATGGAAAATGCCATTGGTAATTTGATAGGGATTGCATTTGTAGATTGCCTTGGGCAGTATAGTCATTGTGACAATATGATAATATTTTGACAATTTTCACAATATTTTTTCCAATCCAAGAACACGGTATATCTTTCCATCTGTTTGTGTCATCTTCAGTTTCTTTCATCAGCATCTTATAGTTTTCTGAATACAGATCTTTTGCCTCCTTAGGTAGGTTTATTCCTAGGTATTTTACTCTTTTTGATGTGATGGTAAATGGGATTGTTTCTTTAATTTCTCTTTCTGATCTTTCATTGCTAGTGTATAGAAATGCAACAGACTTCTGTATTTATTTGGTATCCTGCAACTTTACCGAATTCATTGATGAGCTCTAGTAGTTTTCTGGTAGCATGTTTAGGATTTTCTATGTATAGTATCATGTCGTCTGCAGTGACAGTTTTACTTCTTCTTTCTCAGTTTGGATTCCTTTTACTTCTTTTTCTTCTCTGCCATGGCTAGGACTTCCAACACTATGTTGAATAAAAGTGGCAAGAGTGGACATCCTCGTCTTGTTCCTGATCTTACAGGAAATGCTTTCAGCTTTTCACCGTTGAGTATGATGTTAGCTGTAGGCTTGTTATATATGGCCCTTATTATGTTGAGGTAGATTCCCTCTATGCACACTTTTGGAAGAGTTTTTATCATAAATGGATATTGAATTTTGTCAAAAGCTTTCTCTACATCTATTGAGATGATCATATGGTTTTTATTCTTCGATTTGTTGACATGGCGTATCACTGATTGATTTGTAGATACTGAAAAATCCTTGTATCCCTGGGATGAATCCCACTTGATCATGGTTTATGATCCTTTTCATGTACTGACAGATTCAGTTTTCTAGTATTTTGTTGAGGATTTCTGCATCCGTGTTCATCCGTGATATTGGCCTGTAATTTTCTTTTTTGTGGTATCTTTATCTGGTTTTGGTATCAGGGTGATGGTGGCCTCATAGAATGAGTTGGGAAGTGTTCCTTCCTCTGCAATTTTTTGGAAGACTTTGAGAAGGACTGGTGTTAGCTCTTGTCTAATTGTTGGATAGAATTCACCCGTGGAGCCATCTGGTCCTGGACTTTTGTTTGTTGGGAGGTTTTTTTTTTTTTTTGCGTTTTGCGGGCCTCTCACTGTCGTGGCCCCTCCCGTTGCGGAGCACAGGCTCCAGACGCGCAGGCTCAGCGGCCGTGGCTCACGGGCCCAGCCCCTCTGCGGCATGCGGGATCCTC